TGCCCGTGTGTGTTGGGATCTTTGAGGGACATCGTGTTATTTACATAGGACAATGACCGCACAAGGGTCATTTTTCTCCCCCTTTTATGGATAAGGAAAGGTTAAGTAACCTGCCCAAGGTTACACAGAAACCAGCAGAGTCATGATTTGATACCAGGTCTGTCTGATTCCGGAGCTCTAGATCTTTCCAAAATAGAACACAAATTCAACAAAGTATTAATTTTAACTCTACAAGAAATATTCAGGCTTATGGAATCACTTATAGGCAGAAGTCAGATGCTACAGGGGAGGACTGGGAAAGCAGGAGACCTAAAAATTGTTACTTTGTGCAAATCACTTAAGCCAGTTTCCTCATTTGAAAAGAAGAACTTGCCTGCAGGGCTGTGGTTTGGCCCTCCTGATAGCTGTAGCTGGTGGAGTCTGTTCTCATAGGTCATTTTCTTTTTCTGCCATGGCAATTGTTGAATATTTTATATACTGCCCCAGGTCCCACACCTATTCCCCTTGGGTGTGGTGGTCAAATGAGACCCCAGCAATTGCCGAGAACACTCTATGCCAAGAGTAAGTAGAATTAGTATTTACAGGCACCCAGGGCCAGCTTCATGGGCCTGCAACCTGCACAGTCGCAGAGGGCCTGAGCTTAGTTAATGCTCTGCTGACTCGTCTTGCAGTTCTTTTTTTTTTTTTTATTTCAGCATATTATGGGGGTACAGATGTTGAGGTTATGTATGTTGCCCTTGCCCCCCTTCCCCCCCAAGTCCGAGCTTCAAATATGTCCATCCTTTGGGTGGTGCACATTGCACTCTTTGTGTATGCATATACCCGTCCCCTTCTCCCTCCTCCCCCCTGCCCAACATCCAATAGATGTTATTCTTATATGTGCACTTATGTGTCGATCAGTTAATACCAATTTGATGGTGAGTACATGTGGTGCTTGTCTTTCCATTCTTGGGATACCTCACTTAGTAGAATGTGTTCTTAAGAGTCTTTGAACAGGGGATCTCACGTTTTCATTTATCCCTGGGTCCCATGAATTACGTACTCGTCCTGCAAGCTAAAAGGCAGTGGCTGATACAACTCAGGAAAATACTGTAACACCTCCAAAATTCTAGGGGACTGAGAACGCACAACAGTGATTTTATTCTGTCTGAAGTCACTTGTATGTTGACTCCCCTGTCTCCTGGCTGTTGAGGGGAAGGCACTGTTCCTGAGGCAGTGGCTCTGTCCCATGTGTGACCAGTATGGTGCATGAACAACAAGCAAGCAAAGCGGGCTGGGGAACATGGTCATTATCCTCAGCAAGAACATTTTCCTGGCATCTGCTCTGTGCCCAGCTCTGTGCCAGTTGCTATGGGGGACACAAAGCACCCCATATCACTGTCATCCTCAGGGAGCTCCTAGCTGGATGGGAGGGTGGGACACAGATCTCTCTGGCATACCCTGGGGATTAGTCTCAAACGTGGCACAGACCCATGTTCCAGGAGTTCAGAGACAGGATTTAGAAAGGGATCCCTGGAAGCTGGGCTGTCAGGAAAAGCTTTGGGTCAAGGTAGGACTCAGCCAGGGGCTTAAACGAGGCATGGAACTTTCTAAATGGAGAAATGAAACCCTCAGCCCTAGATATGGACACATCACACACCCCCTCATGTTGGGGTCTTGCTTTTGAATTGATCACAATAGACTGGAGCTGGAGAGTGTTGTGGGTTGGGTTCTCTGGAAGCAGATACTATGATGGACTTTGGGGTGTGTATTAGTTTCCTATGGGTGCTATAACAAATTACTACAAAGTGGGTGGCTCAAAACAACAGACTTTTATTCTCTCACAGTTCTGGAGGCCAGAAATCTGAAGTCCGTTTCACTGGGCTGAAGGCAAAGTTTGGGCAGGGCCTCACCCCCTCTAGAGGTTCTGCAGGAGAATCCATTCCTTGCCTTTTACAGCTTCTATGGCTGCTGGAGTTCCTTGGCTTGTGGCCGCATCACCCGATTCTCTGCTGTCTTCACATCATCTGCTCTTCTTCTATCTTAAAACTCCCTCTGCCTCTCTCTTATAAGGATACATGTGATGGCATTTAGGGCCACCTGGATAATCCAGGATGATCCCCTTCTCTCAAGATCCCTAATCACATCTTTTGCCATTTAAGGAAATAGTCACATTTAAGGAAATAGTTCTGGGGATTGGTACATGGACATATCTTTCTGGGGGCCACCATTCAGCCCACTACAGGGGGCAAAATGTTTAATAGAGCTCAACATCTGTAGAAAGAATGCAGAGGAAGCAGGATAGGCAGAGGGAAGTTAGACTGTAATGCAGGCCCAACCGGGTCTTGACCAGCTCGGTGGAGAATTCTGGAAGGAGAGTTGCCTATCAGAGTTGTCGCTCAGTAGGCCAAAATGACTGGGCCTTCACACGGCCCCATGCCTAGTCACTGGATATAGATATACTCTAGGAAAGGTGTGACCTAAAGTAAAGCCACTCTGTGTGACTGAGGCAGAGCCTGAAGGGGCTGACAGCTGAGGCTGCCTGCCAACTACACTCCCGCCATGGGGAGAGTTGTTCCTTGAAGGGAGATCTGGGCAACTCAGCTCTGTGCCCACCACAGGGAGGGAGTGGGAGAGAGCGTCAGCAGATGGCTAGGGGGAGGGGGGCAGATGTCCGCTGAAGGCAGCACCTGAGTGGGGCCCATGGTCTTCAGGCATATTGACAAGAACAACACATCTGCTCTGTCATGAAAGTGTGTGAGAAAAAGGACTCTGTGACCTCCTAAACCTGGAAAAGCCACTAGCCGGGGAACTATTTCTAGTCCATTCTTAAGCATATGTAGACCCTGCTAACATCCGCCCTGCCTTCTTTAGCTCTTGGCCTACACTGCGGATGTGAACACAGCTGCACACACACACACACAGTCTTACTATAATTTGTACTAAAAACAAATCTCCCAACAGCCCCCCTCAGGGTGCACTCAAGTGGCTTAGGGCACAAGATCTCTTTCTGCTGATTTGGGAGGGGACCGGGGCTGCATTTCCTGCCTGGACTCAGCAGCTCCAGGAGTTACATGATGGTTTTGAAGGAACGTTCCTCAGAGTCTCAGGCGACTAGTTTGGAGGAGATAAGGGGTAAGTGCCCGCCCCGCACCTGTGCAGGTGGGCAGACATATGCTAAAGGAGTTAGGGGGTTACCTTAGGCCACACGCTGGCCCACTTGTGGACACCCTAGGGCCCTCACTCGAAGCCACTCATCACGCGGAAGCATTTCACAGTGGAAAAACACTGGGGCCGGGCTCGTGCTTCAGAGGGTCTCTGTGGAAACTCTTCCTCCTCTGTGGAACTCTGGAGGATCTGGTGGCTGCAGCCTCTTTCCTGGGCTCTGGCCAGGAGGCCTCGTTGCGGTCGGGCCAGCAGGGGAGGGACCATGACCGTGCAGGTGGGAAGGGTGGTCAGTCTTCACTCTCCACACCAAGCTACAAGGCAGTCATTTCAAAAATTCTCAGGCGGCCCAAGGCTGCTCTTCGACAAGTTTGGCCTGTCATCATCCTCACTGTCATGGTGGCCCCGGGGCAGCACCCCCAGCAGTCAAAAGGCAAACCCAAAGGGCAGCCTGGTATACTACAAAATAAGGCTTTTTGGGGTCCATTTTTAATTGTGAGTGAAGAAACCAGAATTGGGTAGTATAGGGTGAAAGGCAGAAGCTGAAGGGGAAGGCAAGAGGAGAATGGACTGGTAGTGGGAGTTCTGGAACCATCCCAGCAAATAACTCCTCCTCCCTGGGCCTCAGTTTCTCCATCTGCATAACAAGGCCTGTTCAGCCAAGTCTTCTGACCTTAAAGGTGAGAACTCAGAGGTAGAAAAGAGGAGGTAGACCGAGAAGTCCCTGGGGGTAGAGAGGCTGCCAGAGAGGCTGGGCACAGGCCCAGAAGAGCCCCCCCGAATGTTTCAGGGGCCGGGGCAAGAGTGTACATGGAAGCCCACGTACTGTGTGGCTAAACATTTAAAAGGTGTAAAGCCAACTAACGAACTAGTGAGTAAGGTATGTTCTATTGGCTGACCTTTAAAAAGATATTTATGTAATGACCTGTAAAGCCAGTGTGAATGAAAATTCTTGGACTCCTTAAGAGTCTCCAGTGTGGAGAGAGCTGGCCCTGGTGCCCAGCTGTGGCTACAACGAGAATGTTCTCCTGGCACAGACCCCCTGCTCTAGGGAGAGGGGCTGACTAGGGCCCCAGCTGCTGTGCTCTGAAATCTGTCTTTGTGGTGGGGCCCAAGCCACGCTTCCCACAGGCCGCGCCTGCCGGTGACTAAGTGCAGCAGAGACGCTAAGGGGGTCCATTCGTGGGAGGCACAGGGCTCCGCTCATGGCCGCTTTTGCCTCAAGGACACCCTGACAGCCTCGTCGAACCTTTCTTCGATTTCGTGGCCAGCTGCCTAGCGAGCTTCCTCCCGGCCTTCTCCCCTTCACTGGGGCTCAGCGTTGTAGCCTGACGTGACGGTCCTCCCGGCCCCCGCTCTTCTCACCCAGGCTCCTCCCCGCGCCGCGAGGTGCCCCAGGCGCCCCGTGCGCGGCCCAGAAGCGGGCCGTGGCAGGCATGTCCCTGGGAGGCACGTGTCTCCCCACCCCGTGGCACACAGGGAGCAGGAAGGAGCCCTCTGTCCGAGTCTGAAAGTGCTAGTGGCCAGGAGCCCCCCCTCCTCATCAGCTCCCCTGACCCGTATGGCTTTCTCATTCGCCCTGCCTGTGCGCGCTTCTGGAACAACACACTTTGTAACCACCTGGGCTAGGGATGCTGAGCACGTGTCCCAGGGCCCTCACAGCTCTGTCGTCTTTCGCACTCGCAAGATCTGGTACAGAATAGAGGAAACTGAGGCTCGAAGACATCAAGTGAGTATCCACACCCTGGTCTTCTGATGCCCATCCCTGGGCTCTGCCAGGACGTCCCAGCCTGTGGCGGGGGGCGGGGGACAATCACACTGTATCACACAACCCCCCTCTGGCAGCGTGAGTGTTGCTTAGTCCTGGGAAATGAATGTGCATTTCTCCTCAGGTTTAAAACGGAGCTGCTGCTTTCAACCTTGCAGCAACCCAACCAGGGGAATGGAGGGCCAAGCGTGTTGTCCCCTGAGCCCAGCTGGGCTCCGGCCCCTCAGAACTTATCATTATATTTGCAGTCTGGGTAGCGGTAGGCAAATCTGGGGTCACAGGTTCTCAGGGGCCTCAGGATGTCCTTCAGCCGGCTGGCAGCCCCGAGGACTTCGGAGTCTGGGTGGGCACCCTGCCCACACTGAGCAAGAGCTGAGTCTATCTCCTCTTGCACTGGGGAGGGGAACCTCTTCTGGAGAAGTCGAGGCAGCAACTGCTGACACACCAGTACCAGGCTCTGCTTCTCAGGGACGGTGTCGCAGGAGGGCAGCTGGGCCTGGCAGCCAGAAACCAGGCAGCTAAAAATGTCTTTATTCTCTCCTGCCCTGGTGGCTGCTTGGCTGCCTAGAAGAGAAATGGGAAATATTACATACCCTACAATCTGTGCTCCTTGGGGGAGGGCACCACTAATTAGAATTGCTGGGCAAAGTGGTTTAGTCTCTTAGCATTTCCCTGTCACCAGGAGATTTAGAGCTCAGGGACACAGTGGCTTCTTCTGAGAACCACATGGGAGGAACTCTCTCTGCCATAATAGGCTGAGGCCTAGGCATGGAAAACCCACTTATCCCTAGCAGAAGTTGGGCTTATAATTGTAAGTCCCTCATTACTATTGAATTAGGGAACTCAGGTAATTATTAGGCCTGGTTTCATTTGCTCTTTTAAAATACAAAGGCAGGAGAAAAAACAGGTAATTCCGAATATTCATTCAAAGGGTTCTATTGGGACTGACCTTTAGTGATTTATAATACATATCCTGAATATTCTGCAATCAGCCTCATTTCTTCTAATTTGAGTCTTCTTAATAAGGACAAATGAGGAAATGAGTAAGTGTGGTTTAATTTGTCTATCTTTGTAGGCCCTCTCATATAAACAAACTCAGAAATCGGAAAAGAAAATCCTTTGTCCCCTCCTTGGGCTAAGAAAATTTAGTCACTGTTAGAGATTGGGGTGTTCAAAGGGTTCTAGAACTCTGGATGAGCATTTGCACATAGTGAGAAACATGATTCACTCATCCACCTCATTCGGTTCTATACTTTAGAATTTGAAAACTTTATAAAAAGCAAATGTGCCAAAATGGATTGTAAAATGTACCAATGTAGGCTTTAGATAAAGGCTAAAAGCATCTGATGAGAAAGGCTCTGAGACGGGGATGGACCCGGGAGTTTTGTGTGTGCGTTAGGAGAAGCAGGGCGGGTCCCTGAGCCACACAGACCGGATAGGACAATAGCAATGTCCCTCGTGGACAAGGCCAAGTCCACTTTGCTTGGGAGATGGAGCAGAAATTCAAATGAGGGTGAGGGACATTTTACATGACATTTAACATTCCCTGAACTTGAGTTGCTCACACTGGATGCGTGGAGATGGGAAAGACACAACAGTGTGACCCCCAGCCACCCCTCCCTAGCTCCTGTCACCCTGACTTCCCCTCTGACAGCTGCTCAGCCAGGCCCACGCTGGGTACCTTCCTGCTTGTCGATGACGCCCAGTGTGCTGGCATCCCGGATGAACAGATGCCCATTGTTAAAGATGCCAAACATGTCTGCCTCGATATAGGTGAAATAGAAGAAATAGTTCAAATCGTTGCTCCTCAGAGACTCCAGGACACCAAGGAGCTGGTAGGCGAGGTCGGCTGCCTGGTCTGGGGGTGCACTGTAGAATTCCTGCAGCGGTCTGGTGCTGGTGCTGACGAGGAATCTGCCACAGGAGCCCAGGTACTTGGGCAGTGGCCATCCCTCGGCCCCAGGGAAGATCTGCCAAGCCAGAAGGAGGAGGCATTAGAGGATCAGAGAGAAAAATCTCATGGTGACAGCGCTCTCTCTCTCTCTCTCTCTCTCTTTTTCTCTCTCCATCTCTCATTGCAAGCACAGAAAGATCACCCTTACACAGGTGTCCTGGGGCTCAAAACGTGTCAGCAAAGTGTCTCTCAACCTTTTTTATGCCTCTTGGAACATGGCAATACCCTGGCCCCTACCCACTTTTTTATTTCATTTTATTATTTTTTTTTTTGAGACAGAGTCTCACTCTGTTGCCTGGACTAGAGTGCCGTGGCGTCAGCCTAGCTCAAGCAACCTCAAACCCTGGGCTCAAGCGATCCTCCTGCCTCAGCCTCCCGAGTAGCTGGGACTACAGGCATGTGCCACCATGCCCGGCTAATTTTTTCTGTATTTTTTTAGTTGTCCAGCTGATTTCTTTCTATTTTTAGTAGAGATGGGGTCTCGCTCTTGCTGAGGCTGGTCTCGAACTCCTGAGCTCAAACTATCCGCCTGCCTCGGCCTCCCAGAGTGCTAGGATTACAGGTGTGAGCCACCGCGCCTAGGCTTTTATTCCATTCTTGATGGAAGGATTCAGAAAAGGAGGCTGTTCTCATTTCTCTGCAGTAGACTGTATTTCAACAGAGTTCCTCCAAGTGGGGCATGAGAATGAACTTGCCACAATTTTAGATGGTATCCAGGATTTGGGGAAATATGTTTATTTTAAGAGTTGTGTAGTTGAAAAACTACAACTCATCTTTTAGATTTCACAGCTATCACTGCTTAGAAAGAAGCTATAGGAAAAATAACAGAGGGTCAACTTAAGGCTGATTTAAAGAAAAATATTTTAAAAAATAACAGTACAGGTACCTGGTTCTGGGATAGGGCAAAAATCATGAAGGTGGCTCTTGGGTGACTCAAGTTTTCAGAACCACTATACTGGCCCTAAGTCTTTCTCCTGCCAGCCCTGGGTGAATCTGCCTGGCTGGGGTAACTACGTACATCATACAGATGTTCCCCAACTGACTGGAACCTTCCAGACAGCCTAGGGAAACACAGTCTGGGCCTGTCTCCTCTGTCTCCTTGTAAGAGCACCAAACTTGTGATTTGTGAGATGAAAAAGGAGGAGGGAAGCTTGGTTGGCCTTTTCTTGACTATTGATTGAAGCAGCTGTATCTAGAATGGTGTTTCTATGGGGAAAATAACAGAAACTATACATATTCAGCATTTTATTCCTTGTTTTTCTTCTTTAAAAAACAAAGCCATCTCCCTCTCTGATGGTTTTCCGAGGTCTTCTGCCCTTTTTATCCCCCCCACCACACTGTGAAGAACCCATGCTCATTAGCTCTTGGAGTTTCCCCTGCCCAGATGGGACATTTCCCACGATGTGCTGTGGAGGGAGGTCCCAGGCCTACTGTGTGGCCACGCAGCCATTCCTGGGTTCCACGCCATGATCTTCCTGGGAAGAGCCCAGGGTTGAGTGGAGGGTCTCAGCCGCATGGTCTCAACCCACGCCTCTAAGGAGCCAGGCCCTGGAGTAGCCAGGGTCTGCTCGGAGAGTGCAGGACAACAAGCGATTCTTCCTCGTCTAGTATTTCAAATGCCAATGTCACTAGGCAGGTTTTAGCAGGAAGAGCACGGCCTCTGAGGCAGACAGCTCTGGGTTTGCGTTCCATCGCCGACACTGGCTAAGTGAGTTTGGCCAAGTCACTTCACCTCTCAGAGCCCCACTTAACCTCATCTGGAAAGGGGGACAATAATAATATTCCCAGGGGGTTGCTGTGAGCATTAAATGAGGTAATGATGTCAAACACTCAATGCAATGCCTGGCACGTGGCAGGTGCCAGGTAAATGAGAGCTGTTATTACGTATTCAGCTGTCATCTCTTTGGCCAATATTTATTAACCGTCTTTGCTATGGCTTCTTTCTCCTCCACCTGCACCTTCTCCCCTTCCTCTTCCTTCTCTTCTCCTCTTCTCCCTCTTCTTCCTCCTCCTTTCTCTACTCTTCCTTCTTTCCCTACAAATCCCTCTCACTTTATACTTCCTTTTGCATCCATTAAGTCTCGTCTGTGTTCTGACCCTTGGCTCAAGGGGCAATCGGAGTGATTGGGCTTCCCCTGTTCCACAGATGTTGGTTTCCCATTGGACTGGAAGCTGCATGAAAGCAGGGGCCACCATACCTGTCTCGTTGACCCAGGCCCTAATGCATCCTCATTTATTAATATTTGCCCATTCCCCTGTTGCTGGACATTTCAGTTACTTCTATTTTTCTCTCCTTTCCAAGCATGGCTGCAGGGCATATCTCTGGGTGGGTCATTCTTTGGCTATTTTCCCACCTCCTGAGCTTGCTCAAACCTTACTGATCTTTGAGGCACAGGGCAAAGCTGCCCTCCTTCACGAAGCCCTTCAGGGCTGCCTCAAGCAGTGAAGGTGGCTACTGTCCCCAACTACCCACCTCCTGCTGTGCGCTCCTACACCTCTTTCCTCTACAGCGGTCACAGCTCCTTCAACATTGCAGAAACCAACAAATATTTTTCTCCTTCCTTCCTTCCTTCCTTCCTTCCTTCCTTCCTTCCTTCCTTCCTTTTTCTTTCTTTTTAGAGAGGGGGTCTTGCTCTGTCACCCAGACTGGTGTGCAGTGGCCCGATCATAGCTCACTGCAGCCTTGAACTCCTGGGCTCAAGTGATCCTCCCACCTCAGCCTCCTAAGTCACTGGGACTAGAGACGTTTGCCATTTTTTTTAAAATTTATTTTACAGACAGGATTTCTCAATATGTTGCCCAGGTTTGCCTTGAACTCCTGGCCTCAAGCGATCCTCCTGCCTCAGCCTCCAGAGACACTGGGATTATAGTCATGAGCCACCACCAACAAATATTTTCTGAATGCCACAAAGGTCCTACCACGGGCTGGTGGCCCCAAGGTGTGCAGTAAAGGGAGGGAGAGAGCTCAACCCAGAGCCAGCCCCTGGGAGTCCGAGATTGCCCCCCAGCCTGGCAGGCTTGCCGCGGCCGCTGCGCACCTGGAGGAGGATGGGGTGCGCGTTGACAGCCAGCGTGTAGAGCAGACGCAGCTTGTCGCGGTCGGTGAAGTGGTCCATGAAGATGCTGCCGGCGTCGGCCACCTCGGCGTAGCGCCGGACCACGCGATCCAGGAGTCGCTGCGAGGGGCAGCGCAGGAGGGGGCTGGGCAGGCCCTGCGGGCAGGTGGGAGAAAGGCGGGAGGAGAAAGGGTGCTGAGTGCTCGTGGGGGGCAGTGGGGGAGCAGGGGCAGGCCCTGCTGGTGGGAGAGACCTTGGGGTTGGGGGGCCAGGTGGGGTGAGGGGGTGGCGGGGAAGTGGCGCTGCGCAGGCGGGGGAGGAGAGATCCTTGGGGCGGGAAGGGGCACAGGAGCCCTGAGAGCCGAGGAAGGGACTGGCAAGGCAGGGGGACACTGGGCAGGTGGCGGGAGGAGGAGGGAGGGAGGGAAGGTGGACCCTCCTCGCCCAACCTCCAGCTGGCGGTCCTTCTCCACCCACCGTGGCACCCCACCCTGCCCTTGGGAAGAGTGCTCACCCCCGGCCGAATTCATCCCCTGCGATCGGCCCTTTCTATTCCTTCCACCATTTCACTATGACATCGCCACAACCGTGACGCTACACGCGAGCATCTTTATTTGTGCCGCTTTGTTCTTGGGATAAAACTCAGAGAGACGGACCTAGGCTTGTTTTCCACGACTTTCCAGCCCTCCCCTACACCTTTCTCCTCATGCTGAACCAAGAAGACAACGAATCTCCTAGTAAAAAGAAACGTAGGTAAGTACAGGGCCCTGGGGCCAGTCTGCCAGCATTCAACCCAGCCAACACAACTACCAGCTGTGTGACTTCAGACAAGTTACTAAGTCTCTCTGTACCTCTGGTTCCAGTCTAAAGTGAGGGGGACAGTAATAGCACCTGAAAGATCATGAGGATCAAATAAGTTAATACATGTGAATTCACAATTCCTACTCAATAGCTCATTTCATCCTCCCAGGCACCCGAGGAGGTAGGTGCTATTAGGAGCCTCATTTTGCAACTAAGGAATTGGAAGTTTGCAGAGCATAGGTAATAGTCGGAAGGGTTTGATTCAGGATTTGAACCCAGTGGGTTACACTCTAATAAACACGCACTTTGCCCTGTAATAGGTCTTGCCCCGCCCCCATTCCAGTAAGCTACCCAGAGAAGGTCTCTTTGCTTCTGTTAGTCTCATCCTACACACCCTGAAATTCCACCATTAGAGGTGATTGTTGGGGGGCAGGGGACAGGACAGGGGGTAAGTAATTTCTTCTCTTCTCCAAGAGCCAGTTCTTAAATGAAAATACCTCTGGGAGAGGAAGGACACTAATTGGCTGTAACAACAGCAATAATTATACATAATAATTACTGACTGCTTACTATACAACAGGAACTGTTTCTAAGCCCCTCCCGGGCAGTATATTCATTCATTTACTCCTCACAAGAACTTATTATTGCTCCATTTTACAGATGGCAATACTGAGATTTAGAGAGATTAAGTGAGTTGCCCCAAGTCACATATACCTGGTATTGGAACCAAGACAGTACACCGGGTTAAAGGTAGATGGAGCCAGGCAGGACCTGCACCCTTATCTTTGTTGGGGATGAGAGGATCACATCATGTAACCCTGCACTTAACTGACATCAGGGCACTCATTCATTCATTCATTCACCCACCAATGTTTGCAGAGCATCTACTGAGGACCAGACTCTGTTAAGACTGTATTGTGGACACAGAGGGGAACAAAACAGGCCCTGACTTGTCGGCTGGAAGAGAACATCAAGTGCCCAGCAGTTATGATGTGGTGCAGGAAGAACTATTGCAGTGAGCTATCGGAGCCCTCCGGGCCACATTATAACTTCTGTGGGCTCTTGGTACCCTTGCCTTCATGGGTCCCTTCCTCCATGAAAAATATTAAAAATCATATTTCACAATTGCATTGGTATAAAGATACATATGTTAATATTATATAGTCAAACATTTTCTTGGGCTTAAAGTTTCATTTTTTTCCTTCTTATTTTAAAAGAAATCAAAACATTTTTATGGGACCCTAAAAAGACTTCTCGAAAGATAGCGAAGTCTTCAAATCTTTGTTGGCAGCAGGATTGAGAAGTCTTGATCTAAGCTGAGGCCTGAAGCCTGGGTGGCTGAACTTGTAAAGAAGGTGGAAGAGTATTTTATGCAGAGGGAAGAGTATATGCAAAACCCTTTGAGATGAAAGAGAATATGCTGGAAACTACAGGTACGTTAGGACCTATCCTTAAAGCTAGAGTATCGCTACTAAGAATGGACAGAGAAGAGGAACGTTGAAGTCATTTTAAGTAGGCTTTGTCTACTTCTGTTTGGCGTGTGCTGGCCAAGTGCAAGCCCACAATTATGTTGGCCAATGATGAACAGAATTGGGAAGCCACACGTTTCCAATAAAATAATTATTCATTTCAAAACCAAATATACCACTTTTGGGGATTACAGGGACCATCAGTGCAGGGCGATACTGACAGTGGTCATCACGCTTCTCTACCACAATCCCTAACAGCCTATAAAACAGTCAATAAAATTTAGTGAGTATGTTGCCATGATGGTTAGCTTTATGTGCCAACTTGGCGAGGCTATGGTGCCCAGTTATTCAATTAAACACTAATCTGGGTGTTGTTGTGGAGGCATTTTGTAGATGTGGTTAACATGTACAATCAGTTGACTTTAAGTGAAGGAGATTATAACATTAATCCAGATGGGCCTGATCTAATCAGTTGAAGGCTTTAAGAACAAAAATGAGAATTTTCTGAGGAACAAGAAATTCCACCTGCAGACTGCAGCATTAGCTCTTGCCTGAAGATTTCCAGCCTACTGGCCTACCCTAGGAATTTTGGACTTGCCAGCCTCCACTATCGCATAAGTCAATTCCTCGAAATAAATCTGGATGTGTATTTTATATATATCTCCTATTGGTTCTGTTTCTGTGGTAGTACCCTGCCTGATACTCTGGCTAAGAGAAAAACACGTGTTCATTGCAGAAACAGACAGTAACTGAGACTGAAATCTAGACTTGTTTTCGCCTTTGAAACTTCTAGTGAAATCTGAGTACAGGAGACTTAACTTCCCCAGTGAGTCATTTTACCTTCAATTGGCTTTCATCCATAACCCTGAGTGTGTCTGCTCAAAAAACATCACTAGCAATCAGCAGTGTCCTCATTTAAAGAGTTCTTACCAGAACGGAAGCATAGAAGTTAAAAAGTCTTGACAGATGATTTCATGACTCCGATGGAGGTACTTACAAAGTAAAAAAGCTGTGCTTTTGTTTCTCTCTAGAAGCTAGAGGACAGAGTTCACCCATTAGTAGAGCAAGAAGGGGTTTCCCTTCAGAGCAGACCAAAACATAAAAGTTATGTGGGTCTTTGGTAATCTTGTCAGAATTGCCCTATCTCCTTCTCAGGTTCCATCCCATGGGTAAAATCTGCCCAGACTGAGGGTCCCTCCAGAAGGAAACCACAGGGCGACCACATCTGGGTTGGGGCAGGCTGAGTGATGGCCTCATCTAGGGGACCACAGTGTGGTGGAAAGAGTCCAAGCTTTGGAGTTGACCATTTGCCATTGGAGAATATTGTGCAAAGATAGCCCATTGCTGGTGGTGAATTCAGGGGGGTGGCATGAGAGCTGCATGTGGAAGGCTGATGCAGGAGCCTCTGTAGTGATTACTATTTGCAAATGTGGTTGGCGTGACACAGTTAGGAGAAGGAGGCTAACACTTTCTGGAAGTTCTAAGTACTGGGCCCTATGCCAGGCCTTTTCATAGGCATCATCTCAGCATACACAGACACTTGGAGCCTTAAGTTCTCTCTGGCCCTGCTGATATTCCTGGAAATTTAAAGTGACTGATTGTTAAACGGCTTCAGAAAATTTGTGGAAAACATTGTGACATTAATTTTTATAGCCCATGCTGGCAAATGCAAATGGTAGACTGCATTATTAAGTGATCTAATAAAATACTCCCTCTTTTCAAATGAGAATAAGGACCAGGAAAGGGAATTGGTTTGTTAAGATCATGTTGCTTATTGGTGTCCAAGTTTGCTTTCATACCCTGATAGCAGTAGGCATTAAAAATGATTTAATGTGGAGAGAGACAAAAAAATTCAGTGGTTTCAGAGTATGGCAGTGTCCCAAACTTGACTGGTGATCAAGGCCTTTGGTATGCTATAAAAATACAGATCCCCAGGCCCCTGCCTAGAATTGTGGGTAGGAAGGTCCGGTGGGGCCTAGGACTCTGCATTTTGACAGGTGTCCTGGATCATTCTTGTTATTAGGCAAGTCTGGGCAACATAGGTGGGGAACATAGGAGATAAGGAATTGAGATGCGATTCAATATTCCCATCTTGGGAGCTTTGGAATAAGTCCCTGGGCAGCCTTCTTCCTTTATTTTGGAGACAAATACAAATGATTATGCATTCTTGATGGTAGAGTAAGAAGGACACTTGGTGATGGTGATGACTTCCCTATCACTCCTTGGACAGCTGTCATCTTTCCCCAGAAGGTTTTGGTTTACATTTAATAAAAGCCCAACAAATTACCTTTTAAAAGGGGGTATGCACACCATAATAAGCGTTCTCCAGAAAACCAGACAACCTTCAAAACCAACCAAACGAATCTCTCAGGTGGTACTCATAGATGCTTGGAGGAGAGATGGGGTTACTGATCCCTCAAATTGTATCAGCTCTGCCTTCTCAGAAGGTTTGGGCCTCTCTTCCAGAGAGCAAGGAGGGCTTGAACAGAAAGAAGAATCTGGAGTGACAGGTTACACCTGGGAAGGTATCGACTGTACAAGGGCCATGTGTTGACTCCAATTGGCCATTAGCCCCATGCGGCAAGTCAAGGTGACAAGGAGAAAAGGAGAGCTGGAATCCTAGATGCCTCCATTTTTAGACTTTCTATGTCGGGTCAGGGATGGGTGAGGGTAGTAGGATTACCCCTTTGGTCATTTCAGCCAGCAAAAGATGCCAGAAGTCATGATACTGCATAGTACATTTTAGCATGGTGGAAGAACTGGAGATGCTGTTGGAATTCTCTACTGCTGCCTGTCCAGCTATCTCTCTGGGGCTTGAGCACAGACTCAGTTTACAAACCTCACAGAACATGCACACAAAACGCTTGGCATGGTGAGAGACACATG